CGGGAGGAGACGACATTTGAAACTAGAAGTCCATCTCCGGTGTCTATGCCCTTAAACACCACACTATAAAACATTCGAGATAATGCTGACAAAACTGAGCAGAATGCTATGACCCTTGCATATTTAGGTGTATTAGGAGTACGTTCCTTCTTACGTTCCTTGCTGTGGGAAATCAGTCTTGCATTTTGCAATGCCTTCAGAATCATCTGCTGCAAAAACTTCTACTACCTTCTATTGCCAGATACTCTTCCTTCTGACCACCAGTGCCAAATCGTTCCGGATTTTATTATTATCCACTTGCAAGGTTGATCCTAGAACCCTCCAAGTCTCTGACTCTGAAAATCACATTAAGCGGGGACCATGCTCCCTGAAGTATTCAGTAAATGGCCTCTCTCCAAAATCCCTCGGGTGGTTTAAGAGAACAGGATTGCAAGGACATCTGCCTCACAGTTCAAAGCTTGCTCAGCGGGGCGCCTGGGTGGCTCAGTGGTTGAAGCCTCTGCCTTCGGCTCGGGTCATGGTCTCAGGGTCCTGGGATCGAGTCCCGCGTCGGGCTCTCTGCTCAGCGGAGAGCCTGCCTCCTCCTCCTCTCTCTCTCTCTGCCTACTTGTGATCTGTCTGTCAAATTAAAAAAAAAAAAAAAAAAAAAAAAAACTTAAAAAAAAAAAGTTTGCTCAGCGAGAAAACCCATATGAAATGCTTAAAGCTATGCCTGCTCCTGCCAAGTGCTGTCGAACGTCAACCATGTTTCTTCCTGTCACCGTATCTATCAAACTGTCTGCACCCACGCCGTCTCCAGGTCCTCTCCTGCTGCCAGCGATGATGTGCTCCTCCCTTGCCCTTGGGACACTTACGCTCCTGATCCATCTCCACTCTCCTTTGCAAGAACTCAGCTCTTAAAATTATGCCTTCTTTTTCACAGAGTCAGTTTCTCCTCTCAGCTGGAGGACTCGCAGCTGAGCGCCTCCTTCCAGTGTCTCCCATCTTCTCAACTCTTCCCTTAATTAACATATGATCAAGAGAGCATTGCAAATCAATAGGGAAAACAAAGATGATTTGACAAAGAGAAAAAGGTATTTCAAGCTTTACAGCAGATGGAGACAAGATTTGAACATGAAAAATAAAACCGTGTAGTCTCCCCCAAAGGAGAGAATTTCTTAAAATGATCAGAGTAGAGAAGGTTTTTCTAACACAAAACCATAAAAGAAAAAAGAATGAGAAATTTGAAAACATAGAACTAAAGCATTTTGGGCAAAGTGAAAAGCACCATAAACAAAGTCAAAGCACAAATTACAAAGGGGGGGGGGTTGAGGGTGAATGGATATTTGAAACTCTTTTTGTTGTTGTTGTACATCTGGGATTGTATTTCTTCTTTGGGGTTAGGGTTGAAGGGAAACAGGTTTTAGCTGAGAAACTTTTTTGCTAAAATTGTGCCTTGAAAGTTTAAATAAGTAGCAGACCATGCTCAGGAGGGAGTCTCCTTCTCTCCCTCTCCCCCCACCCATTCATGCTAGTTCTGGTGCGCCCACAGGCACTCTCTCTCTCTCTCTCTCTCTCTCAAATAAATAAATAAATCTTTTTAAAAAATAATGTCACAATAGCATAAAAAAACTAGTGTTGCCTGGGTGGCTCAGTGGGTTAAGTCTCTTGCCTTCTGGCTCAGGTCATGATCCCAGGTTCCTGGAATCCAGCCCAGCATCAGGCTCCCTGCTCAGGGGAAAGCCTGCTTCTCCCTCTCTCACTTCCTCTGCTTCCCTCTCTTGCTGTGCCTCTTTGTGACAAATAAATAAATTCTTGAAAGAAAGAAAGAAAGAAAGAAAGAAAGAAAGAAAGAAAGAAAGAAAGAAATCAATCCTCCCCTTTCGGGTCAATTGATTGTCAATAAAAGTGCCACAGCAATTCAATAAAGACAGTGTTTTCAACAAATGGTGCCAGAAAAATTAATATCCATATGCAAAAAAGATTAATTTAGACTCTTTTGTCAAACAAAACTGAGTCACAAAAACTAATTCAACCCAAATGTAAGAACTTAAACCGGGAATAATTTGATGTCTGGGGCTAGCTCAAGCAAGAGACGTGGAGTGGAAATTTAGTTTGGGCGTTCTTAGCCTGCAGTTGAAGCATGTAAGGGATGCTCCATCCTCTACCCGGCAATGGGACTGGAGTCCAGGAGAGCGATCTGGGACTGAGGTCTCTGGAACCCAGGTCAAGGAACAAAGAGTGCTTAGGGCATTGTCCAGAGTTCTTTCACCTAGAGTTTTAATTTGCTTGGAGTGCCTTCTGTTTCAACGGCGCCACTGGTGGTGGTAGGCTAAGTGCTAACAACACCAATGGCTGTGAGGGAATAACCAGATAGATGACTTGGGTGAGAAGAAAGGTAAGATTGTGCCCAAGGGCTTTTCTGCACCATTAGAAGATCTAGAAGTGTCTTCAACCATTGCAGTACAACTGACTAGGTGATATTCCCGCCCCCCTGAGAATTTTCTGATTATTGTAATTACATCCCATCCTTTGCATCTTCTTAATTGTTCATTAACTAACCACTTTTAGGAGTACATGATCACATAATCAAATCTAACAAATGTTGGAAAATAAATGTCTCATCTCTATCTAATAATACGTAATCCTGTCCTAGAACTACAACCCTGTTTTTAATTGACTGATATTTAAAATCCATAACTTGATTTCGGGATACCAGAAAAAGGAGGATTTTGAGACATTCCCTAAAAGGGCAATTCATTTCCAGACCTTCTAAAACATATTCCACACTCCCTTTCTCCTAGCGCTCCGCCTCCTTTCGAATCACGTTTCTCGGATGGAAATCTCGCGAGAGATCGAGTTCTCATGAATTCTCCCAGGAGCCACCGGTCTTCCTCTTCCTCTCAGCGGCCAGGGGTGAGTGAGTGTTTGCCATGTCTCCGGACTGCCGAATCCCCCGGTCATCGCCGCCATCCTGGCTTCGGTGGCACTAATGTCCGTGCCCCCAGGAGGAAGGCGTCTGCGGCTACTGATTCTTCGCTGAGGGCGATGTCCTTTGGTGCAGGGGGACGTGTCGGAGCAGAAGGCCGCGATGGGCGGGAATGGGGGTGACGAGGGGTACGGGCGGCCTGTCGTCAGTGCGGTTTCTGACTCCGGAAGGCCTGTGTCTTGCGATGAGTGCTGGCCGGGTACGCGGCGCGTGTGTGGCTGCAACGAGAGAACGTTTTGGGGGAATTAAAGTCGGGTTGAGCCTTTACCCATTTGAACGGGTGTTTCAAGGTCGCTGGCGCTTATTGTAATGGCCCAGAAGGACCTGGGGAGACGGCGGCACCCCTGGAGAGGGAGCGCCCTGCCACGCCGAGGCGTCCAGTCCTTTTACTCCCGAGGGATCCAGAGCGGGGGTTCAAACTATTTTCCTGCGGAGGGTCAGGGCTGCTGGGTCCGTGTCCTCAGTCTGTGTCAGCATTGCCGCAGCCCCTGGTAGATGCTGGGGGAGAAAAGGATGGCCGCGATGATGGCGTTTCTTAGGACACCTTTGGATTAACCGTGAAAACAAGTACTTTCTGAGCGGCCGTTGGTAGGAGTTCATACGTACTTACACTGCATCGGTTACAGTAAATGCGTGTTGACAGAATTCCTCCCCCTCCCAGGTGACCTCTGAACATGGTTCGCTATTCGCTTGACCCAGAAAACCCTACGAAATGTAAGTGAACAATATATTCTTTATGGGGGTGGGGTAAGAGGAACAATGAGATACCCAAAATTAACCAAAACTTTCCGTTTTTTAGCATGCAAGTCAAGAGGTTCAAATCTCCGTGTTCACTTTAAGGTACGGGAATCAACTTTTATGGTCTAAGAGTTGTGTCACATGTTCCAGGGCATCCCCCCCCCCCCCCCCCAATTCTGAAAAGGTGACTGCAGTGATGCGTTTCTTAGGACACCTTTGGATTTACCATGAAAATGAATCAGTTCTGAGCGGCCACCTTTGAGACATTGGCTCTATAATTGTCAGTCAAATAATGAGCACTTCAAGGATCATGGAATTTGGTAAAACTACAGGAGAACCACTTAAGCTAGTGTAGAGATCAAAATAATGGGACACAAACCGTTACAACATGATGGGGTTAAAACGTACACTTCATAGGGGTTTGGGATTTATTTTCCTGTAACTTCAAGCCAATTCTCCCTGGCTTTTATTTATTTATTTACTTTAAGGATTTTATTTATTTATTTATTTGAGAGGGAGAGAATGAGGGCCAGAGAGACCGTGAGAGGGGGAAGGCCCAGGGAGAAACAGACTCTGCAGAGCAGGGAGCCAGATGCAGGACTCATCCGGGGACTCCAGGATCGTGACCTGAGCAGAAGGCAGTTGCTTAACCCAACTAAGCTACCCAGAAGCCCCTCCCTGGCTTTTAATCACAGATTTTCTTTTCTTTTTTTTTTTTTTTTCTTCTTCCCTCACTGCATTACCTCAACTTTGAAGAATGGGAAGTCTTTGGGGCACCTGGATGGCTCAGTTATTAAGCATCTGCCTTTGGCTCAGGTCACGATCCCAAGGTCCTGGTATCGAGCCCTGGGAAGCCTGCTTCTCCCTCTTCCACTCCCACTCCCACTGCTTGTGTTCCTCTCTCACGGTGTCTCTGTCAAATAAAATCTTTGTAAAAAAAGGATGGGAAGCCTTTAATTCTGATTCAGCATAGACATTTTGAAAAACCTAGAATTGAATGTTTACTTGAAGAATTGTTATCCTTTAACACGGGTAACTCAGTTTTACTGTTTATACTTAGAACACACGTGAAACTGCCCAGGCCATCAAGGGTATGCATATCCGAAAAGCCACCAAGTATCTGAAAGACGTCACTTTGCAGAAGCAGTGTGTGCCATTCCGTCGCTACAATGGTGGAGTTGGTAGGTGTGCCCAGGTGAGACTTCTTAGTTGCTATGGGAAATGACATTGTAACAGAACGTGAATGGGTGGGGCAGGAATATTTAGAATCTGCCTTTAATCAGGTTCTTCCTGGTTGCTGTGATGACCAACTTAGGACACCTTTGGATTAACCATGAAAAAAAAATGTGTTCTGAGCAACCTTGATAAAATAAATTCATCTTGATTGTAACACTGAATTAAATCGGGGGAATGAGTAATCACCTCTTGGTTTTCTTTCAGGCCAAACAGTGGGGCTGGACACAAGGTCGGTGGCCCAAGAAGAGTGCTGAATTTTTACTGCACATGCTTAAAAACGCAGAGAGTAATGCTGAACTTAAGGTACCCAAACCATTAACATCTTTGTATGTATACAACCTGGATGGTTGTTCAGTTACTGATGCTGTTGTCCCAGATTTGTTTCTTTGTCTTGATTTTCTCAGTAACTAAATTTCCCATTAATTTTTTAATTTAATCTCTACCTCATATTTCCAGAAGACCAAAATTTTGTCAGTGAGGATCTTCAAAAGCATGGTCTTCAAGCTTAACTTTTCCCCCTATAAGCCCAGTGCAAGAAAAAGAAACATTTTCTCTCATGTTTACTCAAGGGTTTATAACCTTTCTAGTACCATAGACAGACATTTTTGGTGATGTCATAAGTCATGGTGACTTATGAATTTCACAAAATATTTGTAAATACAAATGTCATTAAGTCATATGGTGACTTACGAATTTCACAAAATGTTTGTAAATACAAACAGTAGAAATCATTTGGAACAAATAGAGGTTCCAAAATGATTGCTTTAGTAATGGTTAATATGGTTTGCTGCCTTTGTTCATAATGGAGAGACATTAAATTTAGTTAATAAAGGGGTCTGTCTCTTCTGTGCATTAGCCATTATCCCTTTGCATTTGGAAATCTAGGCCAAACTGGAGTTATGTAGGTCTGGCTATAACCCTTCTAGCTGCTAAACCGCACGGCTGAAATCCTGTTTTTCATCAAGGCTTAGAAATTGACACTATCAGATCTGCTCCCGTTAATGACTTTCAGGGAGGCCGCTTACAAACTGCCTATAGCATTGGGTTTTGATAAGTTACTTAGATTTAAGGAAAGATGCTTAGAATAAAGGTAAAAACAAGTGTTTGAACAGCTATGCTATGTAATTAAGAATTGCCTTAAAAGGGTAAGGACTTGAGCCAGTGATTGGGTTTGTGGTGTTGAGATAAAGGTGTTGATTTTGTTCTCCCTCTTCCCAGGGTTTAGATGTCGATTCTCTGGTCATTGAGCACATTCAGGTGAACAAAGCCCCCAAGATGCGGCGTAGGACTTACAGGGCTCATGGTCGGATTAACCCATACATGAGCTCTCCCTGTCACATTGAGATGATCCTTACTGAAAAAGAGCAGATTGTTCCTAAACCAGAAGAGGAGGTTGCACAGAAGAAAAAGGTAAACTACTCAGTCTTGGTCAGTTTTGTTTGTTTATGATACTGGCTTTTTTGTATTATGTTATATCAGAACTATGTAATTATCTGCTGATGGCCCCACCTACATGTCCATAGACACTTTAAATGCACTAAGGGGGAAAAATGGGCCCTTCCCCTCTTCCTCCCCTCTCCAAACTAATCTTGTTTTCAGTAAATGATCAGTTTACTGTTCTTTTCTACTGTTTGAGTTCTTTAAGCTGGGAACCTTGGGAGTGATTCTAGACCCCCTCCCTTCATGCCTAATGAATTTAACTTCTGTTGATTTTACTGCTTAAATATATTGTCCTCCATTCTTTTTTTTTCTTTTTCTCCTTTAAAATTTCATTTATTTTCTTTTAGAAAGAGTTGGGGGCGGGTGGGGCAGAGGGAGAGACTCTTCAAGTACAGAGCTCCACTCCAGGTTCGGTCTCATGACCCTGAGATCTAGAGCCAAAACCAGAAGTTGGACACTTGACACTTAAAACGACAGAGCCACCCAAATGCCCCTATTGTCTTCCATTCTTGTTGCCACTTAGACGTGGTCTCGATGCCTACAGTCTTCAGCAGACTTCCTGCTTACTCTCATTTCCTTACATCTCTCCCTCCCCCTGTGCCATTTCTCTATGCCAAAAGACTGGACTCCCTTTACATTAACATTTCCTATTTTTCCTGAGTTAAAACCTACTCCTTTAAGATGTGGTGCAAGTTGCTCCAGGAAACTTGTAACAGACCTTTTGTTTTTATTTCTTTTCAGATATCCCAGAAGAAACTGAAGAAACAAAAACTTATGGCCCGGGAGTAAATTTGCACAGAATAAATGCAAATAAAAATAAAAGAGAATGTTGGTCGTCTTTTATTACTAAATGTATTTCAAGTATCCTCACAAAATGGGTCAAATGAGTTTTCTTCTGATTAGAATTAGAAACATTCTTCTGTTTGTCCTGTGCCATTAATTGTTGTTAACAAACATGCTGTTTTGAATTTCTTGGTGCTTTGCATAATGGAATTTGAGCCTGGGCATATTTCTGAGTTTTATCCCACCTACTTTGAGATTGAACACCCCGTACAGTTAATCCAATTACAACTCAATAGCTTTTATTAGATTCAATTATGCATCCATTGCCAGGTAAACTTTCGGACATTCTTCATTATCCAAAAGAGGAACCGCGGCTGTAGTCCGCCGTCACTCCTCACCAGAACCTGTCCAGTCCTGAGCCACCACTGTGTAGACGTCTGTGTATGTGCCTGCCCTGGCCATTTCGTGTAAACAGCACTTACTTTAACTGCATGACATGTTCTCATTTCTCGTGGGTCCACACCAAGAGCGTAGTGCAGGACAAACGCGAGAAACTGCCAAAGCCTGCCTACTGTGAGGGTTCCAGTTCTCCGGTTGGCTTCCCGCCGTCCGTCTGTAAAGAGGGAGAACCTTACAGCACTTCAAAGAACTTCGACCTAGTGAAGAGCCACGACTGCTCCGGGTAACAGCCCAGCCCTCACGTGCAAGTGCGGGGACTTCCCCGATGGTGAACCACTTCATCTTTTCTCGCGGTCTTGGATTTTGCTCGAGTATCCGGGGCAGGGAAACCCCGCTCTTCCTCGCCTTCCGCAGGGCTGGAGCGGCTGGTGGCTGCGCCGGAAGCCGGTCCGCGCCTCCGCTTGCGCGTCACCGTTACGTCCTGGGCGCCCTGCGGCTGACGCAGGCGCGCCTTTGTCGGCCCCTTTTGCGGCGCCCATTGGCTCCGCGGCAGCACGTCCCTCCCCACGGAAGTGTGGTCATCTCCACTCGGACCCGGTGGTCGCAGGTGAGTGGGGTCGGGTGGGCCCGGGCTGGCGCCTGGGGGTCGGGCCGAGGTGGGTGATGGCCCTGGTGCTGTGGAGCCGATTCGCGGGCTCCAGCCCGGGCGGCGCTGAGCGAGCCCCACCCGCTCGCAGTTGGCCTGCTCTGCGCTCCCCGCGGCCCGCCAGCGCTCACGGGTCTACCCTGCTTGGCCCTCCAGACGCGCGCCCCTGCCTGCGCTTTCCACCACCCTACACCCGCCTGCTGGCCTGCGTCCCGCCTCTGTCTTTCTGGGCGTTTATTCTCTGGGCGTGTATGGTCGGCTTCGCTTCGCTCGACCCTGTCATCGTCACCAGCATTCGCTCTTACTCTTTCCTGTCTATTCAGGCCTTGTCTTGGACTCACCCTGCCCCGTAAAATGATGTGCTAAACTGGGTTACTTGGAGGGAAGTGGCGTTCCCCCACGGTACCTGCCCGATTTCTCATAGAGCCTCACCCTTTTCCTCTGTATTCCATTGTCTTGGACGAAGCCGAATGAAAGAAAATCTCTCTCTTCCAACAGCTTAAGTCCATTTTGCTCGCTTTGTTGTACTATCAGAATTAGCTTGGTGAGAGCAAATAAAATGTTTTATCAATTTATCCTAGCCACCTTCTAAACCTTTGTAAGCTATGTTTTCCACATGTGTGAAGTAAAACCTCACCCTAAGGAGTCATGTAAGGATTAAGGGAGAGAAAATACAGTAGTTTCATCATGAAGAGAGCTAACAATGTTTATAAAAGCCATGATTGTGACATAAGTGATTGGTAGCACTTGTTCTTGAGAATTTAAAACACCGTAAAGTAGGTAAAAATGAATCTGTGATGGACTTCCAGTCATTAACTTAACCTAGTCCTCGGAACACTATTAGTTGTGTGGAAGGGTTTATGTTGGGTTGTGAAGGCTTGATAGGAGGGGAATAACTTAATCACTGTATTTTTGCTAGGGAAAAAGGCAAGAGCATTGAGCTAGGAAACTAGAGTTGGGAATTCTGGTCTCAGCCAACTCCGGTTACTATTTAGCTCTGTGTGAACTTTGAACAGGTTGCAACTTGTGTGTGTGTGTGTGTGTGTGTGTGTGGTAACAACCTTTACATAGCACTTAACACACGCACACACTCTTCTGAGCTTTATATTCATTACTGACATATCTAATCCACATTTACATCCCTGGGAGATAAGGCTGTTGTCTTCATTTTCCACAGGAGGGCATCAAGGCAGACTCATTAAATAAACTGCCCAAGAACACCATCTCGAAAGTGGTGAAAGCAGGCTTCAAATCTGGGCAGCTGCAGCCAGTCCGCTCTGATTATTAGGGTGTTGTGTCTGTAAGAGTGCGAGATCTAAACCAGATCACCTCTATGTCTCTCGAGGTCAAATTCTAAATGTCTATGACAAAAATAATGATTCCTTGAAAAATGCTAAAAAAAGACTCACTGCTCATTTTGACTAATTTCAATTAGAAAATGTGCTCTTTAGAATTTTGAAACAATATTTTGGTAAATTCTTAAATTGTTACTTTAGTTTGACCAGGAGACTGTTTTAAAGAATCCAGCTATGAATCCTTTATAAAACAGCTGATCAATCCTTAATATACATTTATGTTTACTTGTTTATAACTCTTATAATTCGTTTCAAAGTGACATTACTTTGGGTTATCTGTACCACTGCTCACTTGTGTTGTGAATATTTAAATTGCTTTAGTGTAGTCATGGTGCTGACTCCTTTGCCATCAAGCTACTAAATTTATAATATTTTGAAAATTAACATCCTGAATTATTAGCTTTATGCAGTGTTCTCAAGCTTTTTAGTTTTTCAGGCCTACACTAAGGGATTAAAAATTCCTGTAAATTTAAGAGGTCTTTAGTTCAATAGTACATTATG